CAGAGGTGACAGTTCTGGGCTGGAAACTGGAAGTTAATGTTCATACTGCAGTTTGGTGCCTCTGTTTTTCCACCTTTCTCTCCTTTAGGGAGGAGCTGTGGGGAAAGGAGATGGTGGTATCAAGTAAGTTTTGAATCATTTGCTGCTGGGATTGATCATATACCTATATCCACATTGATTACTGCAGAAAAGCGAGAGGCATTCATTTGTGAAATTTTAGCCATTTTGTGTAAAGTCCTGCAGCTGAACTACTGTTTATTGTTCGGCTTTTAACTTTTTAATTTTTCTAAGCGTGTCTCACTATTTTCACTTAGTCAATTCAGAGTGAATTGGCAAGTCCCGGGGAGGCTTATTTTCAAATACTCCTCATATTGTGGATTGAACTTGCTAAAATATGTTGCCAAGAAGAGAATTTAAGCCTACTTTTTAAGTGGGGAAAAATAAATTTGTGCTTAGAGTGCAGTTATGCACAAATGGCTTCTGGTAAAGTATGTGAAACAAATTGTTCCCATTTGGAAGATGAATTGGCTCACATATTCCCCCCTCTCTCTTTTTCTGAGGAAATTGCACAGATAGTAATTGTATAGTTCACTGAGTCTTGACAAATGCATGTGCTCATGTAGCGGGACACTCTTATCCAAGTAGAGCTCATTTTCATCACCCCAGAAAGTCCTCTCCTGTCCCCTTTGCATCCGTGCCCACCCATGGGCCACCATTGTTCCAACATCTGTCACCACAGATTAGTCTCGCCTGCTCTTGAACCCCATCTAAATGGAGCCTTACCCTCTCTTCCACCATGTCTAGTGCCTTTCTCTCAGTGCTCTGTTCTCAAGACTGAGCCACGTTGTGCTTGTCTTCTGGTGCACATGCGCGAGGGCTTCTGTGGGGCAGATGTTCGGGGATGAAACTGGGGGGGGTGGGGGTGGGCTGGGTCCACCTTCAGCTCTGCCAGGTGATGCTAAATTGTTTTCTGAAGTGATGGCGCCGCTTTCCACCCCCATTCACAGTCTGTGGTGACCGTCTCCCTAATGTTTGGTATTGTTTGCCATCTGAACTTTTCCCAGCCTGGTGCCTCCGCTTGCATATCTCTGGGTCCTAACGAGGTAAAGTATCTCTTCACATGTTTATGGGCCATTTGTGCTTCCTCTGAAGTGTCTGTCCTTGTAGTTTGCTTGTTTTGTTGAAGGGGAAGGTTGTGTGTTTAGTTAGTTTTAGGAATTCTTTAAATTTCTGGATATTAAATGTGCATTGAAAATAAACTCTTCCTGTCAGCTTATGGTATATTTTAATATAGAGAAGTACTTATCCATCTTTTTCCTTTATGGTTTTGTACTTTTTGAGTCCTAAGAAGTCCTTCCTTATCCCAAGACCATAAGAAAATCTTTCTAAATTTTCTTTAAAAAGTCTCAATGTTTTAAGGACTGTCTCAATGTTTTACTCTTTCACTGGTGAAATATGAGTCCACTTTCATTCTTACACAGATGAATTAACCAGTTTTGCCAAAACTGCTTTTTAAAAACATATTTAATTTAAAAAATTTAAAATTGTGGCAATAATACACACATAAAATAAATTTGGCATCTTAACCATCTTTAAGGGTACGCTGCAGTGGTATTAAATTCACATTGTTGGGCGGCCATCCCCACCATCCATTGCCAGCAGTTATTTTTAAACCCATCAGAATTGAACCAGATTTGGCAGAATGTTAACACATTTTATAGCTTATTTTCAGACTCATGTGCCAAATACCACTTGTTTAAGTAAGCCGTCTCTTCTCCACGGATTTCCAGTGCTACTTGTGGCAGGTGCGGAATTAGCAAATATACCCAAGTCTGTTTCTGGCCTCTTCTCTTCCGTTGGTCTGTCTGTCTCTGTGCCACAGTCTTACCTAGTGGAGCTTTAGAGGACGTGTTGGCATCTGGTAAGGCAATCTCCCATTTTATCTGTCTTTGAACTGCCCATGCTCTTGGTCTTTTGCTCCTCTTTAGAAATTTCTAAATCTCACTGGTTTATCCTGTTGTGATTTTTGAAAGTGAAATTGCACTCAATTTTGAAATTGAAATTGACAGTCCTAGAAGAATTGACATCATAATGATGCTGAGATTTTCTCTTGATTTACATGATAGTATCTGATTTATTTAAATCTTTTAAAATACCTTTCAGTAGTTCTGTAATTTCTCCATTAAGGTCTTGGATATCTTTTGTTAGAGAATTACTTTTTTTTCCTGGTGTATTGAGCTAGAATTGACCTACAGCAGTGTAGAAGTGTAAAGTGTGCAGCATGATGACTTGATAGATGTATATATTGCATAACGACCACCATGATAAGTTTAGTTAACCTCCCTCACTTCATACAGTTACAAAAACAATTTTTTCCTTATGATATGACGAGAGATTTTAGGATTTATTCTTTTAGCAACTTTTAAATATGCCATAAAACATTGCTAACTATAGTCATCATGTTGTACACTGCATCCCCAGTAAAAAAATTTTATGTTTCTTTCTGCTGATGCACAGAAATGACAAAACTTTTGTCAACTGTTGTATCTTGCAACTTTACTAAAATATTTTAACTCAGAAGACTCTACTAATAATTTGAATTAACTATAATTCAAAGTTGTCTATGTTACTCTTCATGTCTACCTAGAAATTAATTTCTGTGAATAGCACTTTTTAAAAGATTTTACTTATTTGAGAGTGCGAGAGTGAGCACAAGTGGGGGGCATAGGGTGAGGGAGGGGGAGAGGGAGAAGCAGACTCCCTGCTGAATAATGAGTCCGATGCGGGCCTTGATCCCAGGACCCTGGAATCATGACCTGAGCTGAAGGCAGAGGCTTAACCGACTGAGCCACCCAGGCGCCCCTGTGAATAGCATTTTAATTTCTTTCTTTTTTATTCTTATGCATGTTCTTTTTATTGCTTTATTGTAGTGGCTAGGACCTCCTGTGCCATGCTGAATGTAAGTGGTGACAGCTGGAATATTATTTTTTCTTATTTTTTCCCTTGATTTTAAAAGGAGTAATTATTAAATGTTTCACCTGAAGCAGGAGTGAATGTTTGGAACCTTTGGCCTTGCTAACAAATCCTAATTTTATTCCTAGTATTCTGGGAGGTTTTTTTTTTTTTTTTAATTGTGTATAAAAATTGAATTTTATTGAGAGCTTTTTCTGTATTAAGAGCCCATGTTTTGTTCTCCTTTACTTGTTAATGCAGTTAATGACATTAATTTTCTGTTGATAAGTCCACCACATTTCTAGGCTTAAGTCATAGTTAATGCAATTCTCTCTCCCTCTCTCTCTCTCTCTCACACACACACACACACACACACACACTCTCTCTCTCTCTCTCTGCTGAATTTGGATGGCCAGTAGTTAATTTAAGATTTTTGCATCCATGTTTGAGTGAGATTGGTCTATAATTTTTTCATATTATCTTGACCTGGTTTTTATATTAAGAAGTATCTAACCTCATAAGGATGGGATTGGGATGGTTTCTTTTTCTGTTCTCTGAAAAAAATTATGTAAAGTTAGAATTATTTTTTCCTGAATGATTAAGCATGTGTCTATAAGAATATCTAGGTGCAATATTTAATTTATGGGAAGATTTTAAACCACTGACCAGTGTCTTAAAATTGTTAGAGGATCAGTCAGGTTTTCTATTTTTCTTGAGTCAGTTTTGGTAAATTTTTGATTTTTTTCAGGAGTTTGTTTATTTTACTTATTGTCAAACTAATTGTCATAAAGTTGCTTATAATATCCCTTTTAGTATCTATGGCATTTTTAATTTTTTACCTTATGTATTTCTAATATTCTTTTTTCCTTGATCAGTCATGCAGAGATTAGTTTTATTTTCAGAGAATTTTAATTTTATTATTAGTATTATTATTTTTTATAAGAACCAACTCTCCTCCCCTCCTCCCACGTGGAACCTTTTTTCCCCTTAAGATGTGTGTCCCATTTATGTTCACATCTACCGTTTGAGCCTCTAGAAGACCACAGGTGGAATCTGAGTGTTCACTTGGCTGGTGGAGATTTCGGGTTTACCTCTCACGTTCTTTTGCAGGATCTTGTGTGCTGAGTTAGCCAGCAACTTTCACTTCGATTGCCTAGACTTTGACTCCATGATGTTTGGCGCTGCCCCAGCCCGCCGCCTCTCCACAGCCTCCTCAGTTACTAAACCTCCACACTTCATCCTCACCACCGACTGGGTTTGGTACTGGACTGACGAGTTTGGTTCTTGGCAGGAATATGGAAAACAAGTAAGTGTCATGGAAAGAGGGCAAGTGTTTTCCCCCAAGGGTCCATGATGGAGGAGCTGTTCCAGACATGAGCATGAGGGTTGTTCTGGACAGTCCTTGGAGAGTCCTTGACAGAGCCAGAGATCCCCAGATCCCCCTATGACTCACTTGCTTTGGGGGAATAAGGGCAAAACTAGTGAATTGTTCCTTTGTATGAGGTTCTGTCTTTGAATGTGTAGGTATCTGTTGGCCTCATGAAAACTGAGTGACTGTAAATTACAGTAAGATGACTTTTCTTCATTGGTTTTGTTAAATGGCAAAGAAAGATGCCTCTCTTACTGTCGAACAGGTAGCTCCAGAGGAAGTGCCTGTGTGTGCAGGAGAGTTTGTGTAGCTGCACAATAAACTTTTAAGGCTTTTTGAAGGTGGCTTTCTGCCTTCTCTGTAGCAGCAACTTCACAGAACGTGGGCAAGTGTGAGAAAATGGATTTATTTCAGGTATTGATTTGGAATCTGGATCTCATTGCTGCTGTTAATTATTTGAAGATGTTCATGGCTGGATCAGATTAGAGGGAGCCCCCTGGTCACCTGTAGAGGTACAAGGATAGGGAGGTCACCACGTCTATAGGGACAGCTTTCCAAAATGAATATTGGGATATGTGGTCTGATAGACATTTATACTCTTCCAGGTTGTAAGAGGCTATATAAAAGCCTGAGATTCTTGTTCTTGCCTGCACCTGGAATGTCGTCTTGTCTGGGAACACTGTAATGAGAGTTGCATGAGAGCAGGGAGTTAGGTCTTTCTTGTGCCACCGGTGTGCCCCGTGTGGAGGATAGTGCCTGTACCTAGCAGGTCCTCAGGGCACAGACATTGGCTGGCTGAAGGACAGAGTATTTGCTGCCCTCTAGATAGTTGGTCATGGTCACTCTCAGTACGGGCCTTGAGCCCCTTGAGCCCTCATCTGCTTCCCCTCTACATCCTCCAGTGCCTGCCTTTCCTTGGTGGCTGTTCCATCTGCCCTCTTTCCCACCCATCTCCCCCTCTTGAGCATCCTGGGGTTTCTTCCGGCTTCCTTGCCATGTGAATTTGTTCAAGGAGGCTCCCCGGCATTGTTCTTGGTTTGGTCAGGAGCAGGAGGGGAGAGGTCGTGCCTGGCATGGAGGAGCAGGAGAGAATGCGGGGCTGGTTATGCTCTGTGAATGGAGCTTAGCTTACCTGGTGACATCATGGAGGAACCCATGGCAGGTGAGAAGCACTTAGCAAATGTGACAACGTCTCACATTTCGTTTTGTGATTTGTCCCCCTTCTTGGGGAGCTGAGTGGGATGACATGAGACCCTAGGGACACCTATGCAAAAGTATGTTTCCCTGGGTGACTTTGCAAACTGGATTGTCACGACTTTAGGAAGTGGGGGCCTTTCTCCTCCAAACAACCCATACTTAGGGCTTTCCCTTTTTCCTTTCTATGCTGCTACTTCCTTCTTGAAGTATAGTCAGTATATAACATCTTTTAGAACAGTGAGAATCTCTGGGAATGACCTGGATGCATCACATGCTGGGGTACAGATGCACATGTGTGGACTCAGTGACTTTTGGTTGTGTGGTCTCATTTGGTACCATCAGCTGGATCCTCTCATAGGGTGGCCTGTCCGTTCTAGCTTTTCCTTTCCCTCACACACTTCTGGTGTCACCCCATATTTGGATTTCTTTCTTAGTTTTCTGCTAATTGCCAGTTGAGGATCATTTTCTTTTGATTCAGGGAAGCTAGGTTCTTTTCTGCCTGAGCTCAGGATGTACAGGCCAATTTCAGGTCCACAATTGCCTCCACCCTATATTAATTTCCTGAGGCAGCCATAACAAAGTACCACAAACTGGGTGGCTTGGAACAACAGTGATTCATTGTCTCACAGCTAGATACTGGAAATCAAGGTGTCAGCAGGGCCATGTTCCCTTTGAAACCTGTTAGGAATCATACTTGCCTCTTCCTAGCTTCTGGTGGCTTCCCTGGCTTGTGGGTGCTTCGGTCCAGTCTCTGCCTTGTCATCAAGTGGCCTTCTCCCTGTGTCCGTTTGCACATGGCATGGCTGTTCTCCTACAAGGACATAGGTTATGTGGGTTAGGAGCCCATCCTACTCCAATATGATCTCATCTTAACTAATTACACCTGCAGTGAGGTCAAGTTTTGAGGCACTAGAGTTAAGACTTCAGCTTATATCTTTTTTGGTGATGGGCGTGGCACAATTCAATTCATAGCCTAATCTTGGGTATAAAGGTATTACTGTTCTTGGCCCACTGAATTTTCCTGTGTTAACCTTGACCTCCCTGAGGTGTTGGGCTCCAGGATGCCTTACCCTGACCTGTATCCTCTTTGGATCATTCTCAACAGGCTTCTCATGTCAGTTGATATTTGGCATTTTTTTTTCCCCCTTTCCTGTGATCTTTGCCTTGATCTAAAACCTCTACAATTGCCCTCACCCTTTTGTACCTGAACAACCCATCCATCTCTACTGGAAAGGAAAGACCCCTGTTTATTCCTCTACTTGCCAGGATCTGACTTCTGTTCCTGTTACTTGTCACTTTTCATGGAGTGCCCGTAGGAGGTGGGGCCCTGCCGGGCATAACCCTTGCTGTGCTATAGACGCTGGCAAAGGGTCAAGGGCCCAGGTGCCAAATCTTGCGGCATTTCCAGACTTCGCCCACTCCCTCCTCACTCTCCTGGCTGTCTTGCTCCTTCTGTCTCCTTCATGGGCTGCTTCTTTCCGCTCTCCTTCGTGACTGTTGCGGTGTCCAGAGTCCAGCCCAGGACCCCATTCTTCTGACGTTAGTGGCCACCTTAAGTGATCTCTACACCTCTATCTCCAGACCAGATTCCTCTTTGAACTTCAGGCTGGTATATCTAGTACCCGCCTGATATTTCTGTGGCACCTTTGCATTTTGTTCCAGGCACTGTCCTAAGTGCTCTGCATGCCTTGTTTTAATGATTGTCCCAGCCCTTTAAGGATGGGATGGCACTCTTGGATCATGATGGAGTATGATTTAAGTTTGTTACTGTTCCTGTTACTGTTCTGTTGAGATCATTTGAGGTTTAGAGAGGTTAAATAACTTGTCGCAGTTATAGAGGAGCCAGAATTCAAACTCAGTCATCCCCAAATCTTAGATATCCTATAGGTAATTGGAGAGAAGGTGTGGATCAAAATGGATAATTGAAAAATAGAAGAGCTCTCCACGGGCCCAGGAAAAGGACAGAGGAGGACTACGCTCTAAAGGGTGGTGGGTACAAGAATGGGTAGAGAAGGGGCAGCCGTGCTCAGGCCATCCCTCCAAGAGGATTGGAGAATTCAGTGTGGGTGCCCACCTTTATTCGAATGGTTATGTCATCCATTATGAGTAATTTGAATGCTCCTCCTTCTTTTGCTGCCATACGCTTATCCTGATTAGTAGGACCTGCGTTTACTATTTTCCTGGGCAGCTTTTAGGAGGCATTTGTGTTGGCTTCTATTCTGTGCCTCCCTCTCCTGCCACACCCCTGCTCCCTGGCTCCTCTCTCCCCACTCCCCTGCCTCCCCCATGACACGGATATCCACCGTGGGCATGTCTGCAGTGTGGTGTGGATCGCACCCAGCAGCTTTCTTCATCATTGTAGGGTCTTGCCTTCACGAAGTCTCTGGCTTTCCCCTGTAGGGCATGGAGCACCCCGTGACCACTGTCAGCAGCAGCGATTTGGAGAAGGCCTACCTGGCATACTGTGCACCGGGCTCTGACGCCCAGGCAGCCATCCTGAAGTTCCAGGCTGGAAAGCACAGATACGAGTTAGACTTCAAAGGTACGTCCTGACCTGCTGCCCTCACCCAGCAGGGCTTGGCCGTCTGTTGGCTCTGCGTTTTCTGCCTTCGCCCTGGAGAAGGTCCATGTACACACTGGGGCCCAGGAAAGAAACGGGAGGGGGGGGGGTCCTTGTTCCTGAAATGCTGTCCACCTGCAAGGGGAGACAGACCTATAACCAATGATGGCAGCCCAGGGGGGTGGAGGAGAAGCTGCCCCGGGAGGGGGAGGTGAAGGGAGAGGAGCCTGAGGAAGGACAGGAGCCCGAAGTGTGAAGGAACAGGCCGGGTCCGCGTGTGTGCTGTGGTGCTGGTCTTGTAGGCCACGGACAAGTCCCTCTGGTCCCAGGGTTAACCTCAGTCCCTGACTGATGTCCTAGCTGTTCCGCTCTGCGCTCTGCCTCGTTCTCCCAGCGTGACAGCTCCATGTTGTCCTCTGTCGGCACCTGTGGCCTAGGTGGGCTGCGGATGGAACATGTGCTAGACACACACTTTGATTAAAAGTTGCTGGAAGCAGATTATCCTGTGCCTGTGGTGTCCTGACACTGAGCTTTCAGTGACTTGTCTTGGTTGCCTTTGCAAACAGATAGAAACAGACCAAATACCCTTTGGCCAGTTCATCTAGTGACTGACTTTGGAGGATTTTTTTTTTTTTTTTTTAAGTTTTAGGTTTTTTTTGTGGCTTCTCTTAAGCCGTTTCCTTATGGATTTATCAGTTCAGCTCAGTTTAACTCAGTGTTGCCTTACCTTTTAAACTCTGAATCCTTCTGAACGTTCAGCACCTTTTGAGGGAATTCACTGGGCCTTCCTGTAAATGCGGTTTGCTGTTTTCTCTATTTTTGTGGACCTTCTTCTGTGTGGAGGGCAGCAAAGTATATGTGGTGAGTTATCCTAAAACCACTTGACCTGCCCTGCTGTGGTTTTGTAGTGCTTATCATCTTGCTGAAGGTAGGATCGCTGCCCCCTCAGTGTGCCCTTCCAGAGAACGTAAAAGCGTGTTCTGCTCTGCAGGGACAACTGCTTACCGGCTTTCGGCATCTGCTGGAGAACACCAGCCGCAGGTCAGGTGGTTTGCGGTCCGTAGTCTGATAGATAAAAATGCACAAAAGGGGATGGCAAGCTACACGAGGATTGAGTCTAAGCACCGATCGGACTGTGGCTGGCAACTGGTTGAAATACTCCTTTTAAATATCTAGAAAATATCAAAACCAGAAATGTCAGATGCAGCCTTTATCATTCTCAACCTAGGCTGCATCCCCAGGGGACATAACAGAGAATCAGGATAAGGGTGGGGAAAAAGCACATGCATACAGTTTTCTGCAAACTGCAGGAAAAAGTGTGTTCACCCCACCTGACCCAGACTCACTCAGTTCTTTTTGTTGGTGGTGGATCCCAGCAGCTATAGAAGTAGTCTGAGGTGAGCTAGGTTCCCATCTCACTGAAAGGTGTAGCGAAAGCAAGTCTCAGACCCAAATCTGCCAGACACATTTATGAACTAAATATTATTAGGAAACAAGTACAGTTAAGAAATGCACACAGCAGGTCAAATGATTGGTTCTGTAGGATTGAGGAAGACTCAGTGCTGTCATTTTAGGGACTCTTGTCCCAAGCATCACTCAAGGCCACCGTCAGTGCCAAGATTCCAGAGGCAGAACTCCGACATCTGTTAGCTGGCATCAGAAGGGTAGAATCCCTAAGGTCACGCTTGTTTAGGGACGTAGCCTAGTGTATCCCTGCTGAGGGTAAATTAGGGGAAAAGTCTCACCTTTTCCTGTCTGTGGAAGGGTAGGGAGTGGGTCTCACTTATATTTAGCCAGTCTGCATGTCTTAAGTAGTTTTACCAGTGAAAACCCATTTGAGATTTATCATGATGTCAGTCAACAGGCCAATAAAAACCCATGTAAGTGTGCTAATCATTGATGGGATTTGAGTGGTGGACAACAGTAGGGCTTGTGGTAGCCATGTCTGATGCATGGGCTCCTGATTAGAATGTGGAGGACCCCTGGGAGTGCCGATCTTGATGACCACCTGGGCGACAGCATGAGGGACACACACCTCGGTAATCACACAGTGTATGCTCAAATGCAGTAACGTAAGTTACAGAAACCTACAAATTAATATTAAAATGTTTTTTAAGTGGAAAAAAAAAACTGGTTTTGTACTCTAAGTGCAGAAAGTAAGACGTGACAGGGTTTTCCTGGTGGCTAGGGACATGTAATTGAGCTCAGAGGTATTTGTGATTTTTCATCTCGGGGTCAGTGTCTCCTCAACCCTTAGGATGAACCTGAGGATCTTGGGGGTGGGCATGGGGCAAGAATTTTGTTTATTAAAGATGGTACAGGTTTAAAAAGGTTGGGAAATACTGCTGTGGGGTCGGTTTAGTCAAATTTTAAAAAGCCATAAGAGTAAAATTATTACACTAATTCTAAATCCCACTGGCTCAAGATGTGGTAATTTGGTCTCAGGCTGGGCTGAAGCTTTTTTTATATCCAAGTTGGGAAAAATTGCTAAGCAAAATAATAGTTTAAACAAGATTGGAAGGAACAATTTAAAAGTACTCATGTATAATTGATACGTCAGTTACTCATCATTCATGTGTTCATTAAACCCAGTCTCCTAAGGATACCTATTTTCTTTATGAATATTTGAAATGTGAAAATTGCCTAGTTTTTTTTAACAGACTGATTCTAGGCTTTACACATTTGGATTAGTTTCCAACCCATTTAGCTTGTATTTATAAAACATTGCTGTCCTGTGTGTGTATATGCATTTGGTGGTTTTTTTTTTTTTTTTCCAGTGTTTGTTCAGAAAAACCTGGTCTATGGCACAGTCAGAAAGGTTTGCCGGAGACCCAGATACGTGTCCCCGCAGGAGGTGAAGGTGAAGCAAGCCTGGTAGGTGGCGTGTGTACCGGGTGGGGGGTGCTCTGCTGCACATACAGAAAGCCTCCTCAGACTGGCTAATGCAGTAAGAGGGTTTGTTGGCTTATGTCACTGAGTATGCCAGCGCTCTGTCTCCAAGTGCCCAGCCCCGCCCCCCAGTACCTTTGTACTTTCCTTAACTTAATACCATAGTGCTGGTGTTAATATCAGCGTTCCAGAAAAGGTCTGAGAATTCATGAAACTGGAAAATCAGGGTACACTTAGCACATTTCAGTGAGAGAAGTATTAGCATGGATCATAAGATGATAAATATAATGCAGGTTTATAGAGAGAAAGATGTCAGAGTATTATTCTAATTGTGGTGTAGATTAATTAATTTCTAATTAAAGCATTAAGGTGCCAAACCAAATGCAACATGAAATAAAGGAAAAAAAAACTAAGACACTGGAAAAAAAATCATATAATTAGATTTTTTAAATTAACATATAATGTATTATTTGTTTCAGGGGTACAGGTCTGTGATTCATCAGTCTTACACAATTCACAGCGCTCACCACAACACATACCCTCCCCAGTGTCCAGCACCCAGCCACCCATCCCTCCCACCCCCTTCCACTCCAGCAACCCTCAGTTTGTTTCCTGAGATTAAGAGTCCTTATGGTTTGTCTCCCTCTCTGGTTTCATCTTGTTTCATTTTTTTCCTCTCCTCCCCTGTGATCCTCTGCCTTGTTTCAAATTCCACATATCAGTGAGATCATATAATTGTCTTTCTCTGATTGACTTATTTCACTCAGCATAATACTCTCTACTTCCATCCACGTTGTAGCAAATGGCAAGATTTCATTTTGATGGCTGCATAATATTCCTCTGTGTGTGTGTGTGTGTGTGTGTGTGTGTGTGTGTATGCATATATATATATGCCACATCTTTATCTGTTTTTTAGCTCTTTCCATAGTTTAGCTATTGTGGACATTGCTGCTATAAACATTGGGGTGCACGTGCCCCTTGGATCACTACATTTGTATCTTTGGGGTAAATACCTAGTAGTGCAATTGCTGGGTCATAGGGTAGCTCTGTTTTTAACTTTTTGAGGAACCTCCATACTATTTTCCAGAGTGGCTGCACCAGCTTGCATTCCCACCAACAGTGTAAGAGGGTTCCCCTTTAATTAGATTTTTTAAAAAAGATTTATTTATTTGAGAGAGAGAGGGTATTTGTGGAGGGGGGAGGGGCAGAGGGAGAGACTCTCAAGTAGACTCCACACTCAGCACAGAGCCCGACATGGGGCTTGATCCCACGACCCCGAGATCATGACCTGAGCTGAAATCAAGAGTGGGATGCTTAACTGAGCCACGTAGGCGTGCCCCGTATAATTAGATATTTTAACTGTAAGTTTGCAAGTGGTGTTACTGAGTCATAAAGGTATTCTTGTGCAGATTTTTCCAGAAACCAAAAAACTGCTTCCTGACTTAGGGTATAATTTAGAGAATGATTAGGGGACAGTAATAATCTCACTTCTCATATTTACTCTCTGTTTCCATCTTCAAGTGATTGTATCTTTTTTATAACTTAGAAGGGATCTTTTCAGTAGCTCTTTGGGTTTTTCTGTTTGTTTTTAGAGTCAGATTTTGTTATTGGTAGCGTGAGCTGCGGTCTTGGCTTCTAACAAAACACGTTGCTCTTTGTGCTCTGGTTGCATCACGAATGAATGCCAGCTCTGATGCCGAGTCACCTGTGGCAGTTTGACTGCTGGCATCCATGTGCCACGAGCTGGGAAAGGCTTGGAGCCAGAGCATCATCTTTGTGGGTAGAAGATTTGTGATACACAATTATAAGGCTGCTTGTTGTGATCTGCAAGCCAGTCTAGGCTTGAAGCTGGCTCATCAGCTTGTATTTTCAGTCAAATAGTTGAATCATAGACCTGAGTGTTTGAAAATGTTGAAGTAATAGAAAAATAATGGAATTATATGCCAATGGAAAAAAAACCCCCTGTATTTCATGGTTTTATGTACTTGAATATCATGGGATACCAAAAACCCAAAAATGGATGCTGCAGGCACTAAGAGGCCAGCTGCATCCTCAGGGCGGGTTCCCGTGTGACTACCAGAAGCCACGAGGGGAGCCCCTGTCTTTGTAAGCATTTAGGAGCAGGAGAGGGCCCTCCTGCAGCTGATGGGGCATATTTATGAGCTTGGTTCTGATCAGACCCCCTCTGAACCAGTAGTTTTAGGCTGAGTGCAGATATCCTGGGGTTGGAGCTGGGAGAAGGGTCCTTCCTGTCCAGTCTACATGGCCACATACAGGGGGAGAGTGGCCTGGATGGCAGCAGCTACTACAGCGCCAGGTACAGTTGGGTGTGTCACAGCCTCAGCTGTTGTCGTCAGCCAGCTACACCTTCCTTTAGCCAGAGAAATCGGGCTCATTTCTGTTTCACGGTGAACCGATAGTTTCTCTGCTGGTTCTTCTGGGGCCCCGCAGATGGACTTCAGTGGTTGTGTTTGTGGAGCATGGTCATTTAAAGGAGTTCCATACTATCAGTCCAAGAAAAAGGTATACTTAGTAGTCAGTATCTTCCTCCCTGTTGTCTCCAATGTTTGCACAATGAGTAGCCATTTACATACATTTTGGATTTATCCTTATCTTTCTTTTTGCAAAAACGAGCAAATGCATATACATAAAAGTATTTTCTGATTTCCCTTTTCTTGCACTAAAGGTAGCGTTCTATATGTACTGTTCTGTACCTTTTCTTTTCCACTTAAAAATAATTATTCCCAGGGCACCTGGGTGGCTCAGTCGGCTAAGCGTCTGCCTTTGGCTCAGGTCATGATCCCAGAGTCCTGGGATTGAGCCCCACATCGGGCTCTCTGCTCAGCGGGAGCCTGCCTCTCCCTCTCCCTGCCGTTCCCTCTGCTTGTACTCTCTCTCTCAGCCAAATAAAATCTTTTAAAAAAATAATTATTCCCTTTCAGGACGCTGAAGTCTTCTGAAATCTGTCTGTCTTCATAGCTCTCCATCACCAGTACATACCCTGTTTTATTGAATCTGTCCCCTTTGGAGGGATATTTTGCATTGTTTTAGGTCTTTTGTTGTTACAAGGGAAACACCACAGTGGATGATCTGGTATACGTGCTGTTTCATATTCATGGAGGTTAAAGTTCGAGAAGGTGAATGCAAATTCCTCTTAATAGGGTTGAACCATTATGCACTTTGCCTCAAGATGCTTGAGGTACCTGTTTGCCTTGGCCTTGCCAACAAGTGAGTCATCAAGCTCTTGGACTTTCGCTCTTCTCATGGGTAGCAAAGGGTGTTAACAGTGCATTTTGATTTGCTTTCTCTTCTGAATGAAGTTTAGTATTTTTTCCTAACTGTTACAGCCATTTGCCTTTTTCTATGGACAGTATGTCTTTTTGTTCAATTTTCTGTCAGCTTTTGGTATTTTTTTTTAATACGTTAAGAGCCTTTTATCTACTGGGGAGATGAGCACTCAGTTTCTTATACAAATCACAAACCTTTTCTCTTGATTTCTTAGTTGTCAGCTTTGTTTATAGAGTATTTTACCCATGCAGAAATGTTTATTTTTTAGTGAAATGTATCCATCTCTCTTGTGTATTGCTTCTGGATTAGGAGTTTAGTTAACTGTGGCTGCTTCTACTTCTGGAAGTTATTTTTGATTTTTTCCCTAATCAGAGCCTACCTTAGATACAGTTTGGAAAAATATGTCTGTCGCCTTTCTGAGACTGGATGTCTTTTGTTATCACTGTAACGTAGTCTTCAGGGGGCCACAGACACCACACATCAGAAATAAAAGTGATCATTTTGATCAAATTCAGACTAAGATATGACTGATTCAGGATCTCCCCACTGACCTGAGAGTCACACAGTGTCCATGCAACCCAGGTGATAGTAGACAGCTGTCGTAACTCTAGCAAGCAAGGCTGCTGGGGCCTCTTTGGCCAGCTGGGACTCGGAGAGTGGGTCGCTTTCAGAAACAACTTCTCTGTTTACATGAATGACAGGGTCACAGAATATGACCTCCACATTCCAAAGTTATAATACCAGAGTTTGAGGGCAAGTTTGAAATGGCATTTACACATCAGCTCTCTGGTTTAGTTCCTTACTGTCCTACTAGCCTCCATTAAAATGTTTTATTCATGTGATTGAGTCCTATTTTTTCTTTTCTTGCCGACTTATGGATATTTTTGTTCATTTTTTTTCCCGCTTCTACTAGTTTGGAAGTTATACACTGTATTACTTTTTTTTTTTTTTTAAAAGGCCACACTAGAAATTGTAACGTGTTCTTAGGTATGAGTCGGTCAGCATCTTTGTCCTCCTGTCACATAATGTAAGAGCTCCCATATACCTTATTCCATTAATTTCCTCTCTTGTTTTTTAACTTCATGAGGTACTGTTACTTTAAACAATGAATGTTTCATTAGATTTACCCACATTTTACTGCTTTGTTCTTTCAGATTTTCTTAGATGAAGGTCTGTTGGAAAACTGTGTTTTTGTTTGCCTGAGTACATCTTTATTTTGCCCCCAATCCTGAAAGATATTTTCCCTGGTTATAGCATTTTGGGGTGTGGTTATTTTCTCCTGGAACATTGAAGAGGTCATTCCACTGTCCCCTGGTTTCCATTGCTGCGGTTGGAAAATCAGCTGTGAGTCTAACCAGAGCCCCTTTTCCAGACTCACTCTTGTCTTCCTCTGGCTGATTTTCAGATTGTGTTGGTCTTGCTGTTATGCACTCTAACCCTGGTGTGGCTGGGCATGTGCTTTTATTTATCCTGTTGGAGATTCTTGGGGCTTCTTAGAACTTTGTGTCACTGAGTCTCCTTTGTTCTCCTTAAAATAGCCTTCAGCCTTTCCTCTCCTCTCTTTTCAGAGCTTTGGTTAGGTTCTGGACCAGATCCAGGCCTTCTCTCTCTCTTCTCTATGTCCCAGCTTCTCCCCCACATCTCCCATCCCCTCATTGCTGGGGCCCCGTTCTGGATAACTGCCCTCCCTTCTCATTCAGCTCACTCCTTATCTCCTCAGGTGGTCTGCCCTGCTTGCAAGCCTGTCCTTGCAAAGAGTGTCTCTTTCACTTCTAGAAGTTCTTTCTGGTTCTTTTTTAAACCCTCCACATCTTTTTATAGTTCAGTTCCTTGCATATATTTTTAAAGTTTGTCTTATATTTCTTTAAACGCAGAAAGAATAATTGTTGTGTTATAATCTTATAATCTTGCCTCATAATTTCAGCATCTTCAGTCTCCATGGTCTATTTCTGGCTGATTCTTGCTTGTGGGACCTTGGTTAGTTATAACTGTGCTGTTTTCCTAGGAGAGTTATTTGTGGGAGTTCTTTGAGGCTTAGGGTGAAGGTACATGTCTCATGCCAGTGGAAACAGAAGGTAGATCTATTGTAGGAAGAACAGAGCATTCTGAAATGGAGTCAGAAGGATTTCGAATTATAGGGATGTAGTCCCTGTTCCTAGACCTGTTGGGTCCCTTGTCTTTTAGAACTCAGTCTTTCTTTACTTAGGTTTTTTGGAAAGATCATATGGTGCTTATGTTATGTGAAACCTGTAATTAAACATGCTGATATTGCAGTGGTATGAAATAAGCTTAGTCCCTTTAAATAGGATATATACAGACTGCAAATAGCCTCTTAGCAGTTCCAGTCAAACTTCTACTGTCAGACGAGGTTTCTTTTTTTTTTTTTTTTGAAGATTCATTTATTTATTTGAGAGAGAGCATGAGCATGAGTGTTGGGGGAGGGGGAAAGGGAGAGAGAGAATCCCAAGCAGAATCCCTGCTGAGTGCGGAGCCTGACGCAGGGCTTGATCTCATGATTTGAGATCATGACCTAAGCCGAAATCAAGTTGGACGCTCAACTGACTGCCACCTAGGTGCTCCTGCCAAATGAGTTTTGACATACATTTTCTAAAATGTTTTTGTATGCCAATTATACCTCATTGAGGCTGCTTGAAAAAAGAGCTCTTTGAATTTTTAAATTGTGGATGAAAGTTTGTGTGTGCTCCTTTTATCAGATACTCTCTGCCTTCCATGCAAGTGTTGAGATACAGGTGAGAAATGGATCCCTCGTGCCTGATTGTTTAGGGTTTGGCCACGTGGGCAAAGACAGATGTGCTCCTACATGGTGGATAGTGTGCTTAGGTGTCTCCTCACCTTTTACCTGCTTTTACAAAATGTTAGGCTGAGACCCCAGACTGGTGGTACCAGCTAGTGGCGGCTGCTGATAGTAGATCTGCTTGAGTCTAAGAACAAAATCTCAGTGTTTTTGTTTACATTTTGTAGCAGTGTCAAGTTTCAAGGCCCAAAGAGCATCCCAGACCATTGGGATCCCTCAGCCCTGCCAGACCCTGGCTTTAAGGTATGGGACTTGCGCTGCCTTGGGCCATGGAGGAGGGTGTTCTTAGACATAGTGAGTGAGAAGACTGAGGAAGCTGTGAGGCCAGGCTGGGGCTGGAGGGAGGAGCTGTGTGGGGTTTTATTTTCTGGTCTTGGGGATTTTAAGGCTGGATGACCACCAGGAAAATGGTTGTGGCCCCAAGGGGAAAGGATGTATTGTGGATGAAGGATGATGACCTGGAAATTTCTGGAAAGGGCAGAAATAGGAGCTTAACAGCTGCTTAGCCAATAAGTATTAGTTTTACTAAGCAAGAAAATAAAACCAGGGGAGGATTTGCATATGATGAGGGACATTTAGAGGGGAGTTCCTGTTGGAAAGTGCCAGATACCAGAAGACAGGAACACCAGTTCACATGGCTCATGTCGGGCCTGCCAGCTGACAAGAGCTACACTGAGTTCTGTAGAGTACTCAGGTCATTGTCCACTACTGCCTCATGTATGTGGGGCCCTCAGACTGCCCTCTGACGCTGACTTCCTGCCGAGCACTGTGCAGATGGGCTCTGGGTTTGTCTGCCCTGAGAGCACTCCTCTCGTTGAGTTGTACCCAGACCCCGGCATGCACCCAGACCCCAGCAGCCCAGACACACGTGCGAAGGGCTGCGTGAGTCTGAACAGCAGTACTCAGTGTCATAGGATGAGGTGACCATATTAAGGGGAATAGGGAAGGCTTCACTGGGTCCACACCTAAGTGATGGCCGATGCTTGTACCTGCAGAAGTAGGGGACGAACATAAAGGTCAATGGAAACTGCATAGGGAAGGAGCCCAGGTCAGGATGGAGGGTGTGCAAGGATGCTGGGGAACAGGAGGGAGGTCAGGGCCGTGCTGTGGAGCGCTTGGTTGTGGGGCTGAGCTGCAGGCCATGACAGGTATGGGAGCCCTTGACAGTCTGGTCCGGGGGGGCAGGCTGGTCCCCACTTGAGGGAGAGGAGTTTGATGTCCTCCCATGGGATGGGAGCAAGGAAACCAGAGTCAGAGTTTCAGTTGCAGGAGCCCTGTGGACGTTCAGACTGCACTCAGGGTAGGGGAAGGCCATGTACAGAGGGGTTTCCCAGGGATCCCCTAACAGGCTGTCATCGGGCCAAGCCTTGTAGAGTAGGGAACAGGGTGGTTGGTTAAGTGCAGGCTGCAAGTGCAGGAATTTGTGGATTGTCACTGTGCAGAGGTCAGCTGCCCTTGGTCAGGGCCCCTCCTGGCCCCTAGGGGGTGCTATTTCCCAGAGCAAGGCACTGAGGGAGAGGTGGGCTCCGCTGGGAGGATGCAGTAGCCAGGCACCGTCCCGCAAGTCTCCTCGGGCTCCTGAGTTGATGCGTGCCTGTCTGCCAGCCTGACCTCTTCCTTAGCACTCGCAGTGAGGCGTGCTCCTGCTGCACGCACTGCTGCCCGTGAGCCTGAACCTGCTTTAGTGGGGTTTGCCCCCCTCCGCCAAACGTGTGCACTCCGCATTTACTGACACCAACTCTGATCCTGTAGACTATGTAGTCTGCCCTGTGTGGGTACAGAGGAGGAGCGGGGACGTCCTGGGGACACCCGGAGTGGTGCTGACGTGAGCATCACGTACCTGTCCTTTAGGAGGGTTTCATAGTGAACAAAAGACAAGTGACCACAAACTGCATACACCCCACGGCTGGAGAGACTACACCCCTACACCCCTGGGCGAAGGGAGAGTGGTGATCACTGTCTGGGCTTGCTGGCAGTTCTAGCATTTTATGAGCAGCCTTGGGAAGGGACTGATCTATATTTTACACTTTGAGGGTAACAGACAAAAAATATTTGCTTCCTGCAGAAGATAACCCTCAGTTCTTCATCAGACGAGTATCAAAAGGTCTGGAACCTATTCAACCGTACGCTGCCTTTCTACTTTGTTCAGAAGATTGAGCGAGTCCAGAATCTGGCCCTTTGGGAAGTCTACCAGTGGTACGTGAGGGGCCCACTCTTGCTGGGCTGGTGACCATCCCCTCCAGTACATACATGGGAGGCTAGCTGCTTGCCAAACGTGTCCTGGGTTTCAGGGACAATCTGAGATGGCAGCCACTGCTTGCCCAGTGCTGGTGGCATCGGGAGCTGTGTCCCTGCTTTCCTCCCCATCTCTCCGTCTTTATAGCTTAGTGCTGGCACATCCCTCAGAGCTGAGGGGGCTCAAGCTGCCCTGGTGACAGCCAGCACTTGGGCTGGTGCCTTCTGCCTCCCTGCCTGAAGATCAGCAGACTGGTCTGTGTCAGCCACCCACGCCCAGAAGAAGATAGAGCTGTTGTCCTGATAGCCAGGGAGCCGGGCCTCATTTTTGTGCCTGAGGACTAGCATGTTTTTGGGTGCTTAGCGACTTGTCCTTGTAGGGAGGAGATCTGCAGCGGGTCACCAAGGCGGGCCTGGGGTCCTGCTGACCTGTCCCCAGAAGAGGGGGTTGGAGCAGCGTCATCTGTACTCTGGGACCAGTGATGAAATCAGGGTAACTGAGGGGGAGAGGGATGGCCCCCCACTGACCAGCATGCCCCAGCTTCCCAGCTTCCCTAGCTAAGCTCCAGGGGAAGCGAGGTGGTGAGGAAGAAGTGGGTCTGGTCTGCTTCGGGAGTTCAAGAAGTGGAAGAGGCCTTGAGCTGTGGAGGCAAAGGCTTCCCTTGTGCTTTTCACCCTGGTCTCACGGGCCTGGACTCCGGATGCTTCTCATACAATGTGTTTTCTTGGGTCAAGTGGCCTGTATTTGGCACCAAGCACCCTCTGCCTCCTGTCCCATGATTCTAGGCAAAAAGGGCAGATGCAGAAGAGAAGCGGAGGGAAGGTGGTCGATGAGAGGCAGCTGTTCCATGGCACCAGTGTGAATTTCGTCGATGCCATCTGCCAGCAGAACTTTGACTGGCGGGTCTGTGGTCTTCATGGTACTTCCTACGGCAAGGGTAAGGGCAAAGGTGGCCCTGCTGACAGAACCCGGCTTTCTTCCCAGGGGCTGGGAAACCCTTTTAAAGCAAATTGATGGAGGGCATGGGGGAACCTGTGTGAGTTGATGAACTGGGTCCAACTCCGTGAGTTATGGACTCCTGGCCCTCTGGGGGGCGTGCCCAGCTGGTGGCACCCTTCCTCTCCGTGTGCAGCCAGGAGCCTCACCCAAGGTTCCAGCAGGAGCTGCCCTGCTCAGGCTGGGCTTTGTGTCCCTGTGGAGTGGAGGCCCTGGACGGTGAGCATGGGTGGAGGGAGGAGAGCAGGTGCCTTCCCAACCCCGAGTCCGGCCCCGGACTGTGCCCCTGTGATCATCAGAATGGGGATCTGAACACTTGAGATCCCAGATGGAATGGGAGTTAGCTGTTTTCCTGTGTTATTTTTAAGCTTTATTTGGAAATAATTTCAAACTCACAGGGAAGTCTCAAGGATAATATTTTTAAAACTCCTGCATAAATTTTACCTAGATTCATCAGCTTTAACCTTTTGCCGCATTGGCTTTATTTCTTTGGACCCGTTTGCCAGTAGGTGGCATACATCATGCCCTTTCCTCCTTGAGTGCCTCTTAAGAACAAGGACGTTCTTTGCTGTAACCATGACATGGTTGCTAAGTTGAAACTTCTCATATGATGTGATGCTGTAGTCAGCAGCCCGTCTTCTGAGTCCATCACTTGTCCATCAATCAGCCTTAATCAGGTGTGGCAACAGCTGCAGGGGCAGGATGGACGGAAGCCGGTGGTGGGTCGTGTATCCGAATGTGTGTGTGGCAGCCTCCAGTGCAGGTCCCATTCAGCGAGCTTCAGAATTCTCGATGCGGGGCTGCTGGTGGCTACAGTGCTCCGTGTATGGGATCTTATGCTCTTTCCGCACCAACCCTATGAGGCTGGCATGACAGCCCCATTTTAGAGCTGAGGAAGCTGAGGTTTGGGGGCTAGGGAGTGATGTGCCCAGGGGACCTTTAGGATTTGAGGGACCAAGTCAGAACTTGAGTTTTCTCTCTCAGAGTTTGGTGATGCCTCTGATGCCCTTCATGAGGGAAGAGGCTGGAGAAATGGGAGGACAGGGAGGCAGGGGTGTCACCTGGCTGACGGGACACCCGAGCCTCCCCTTCCAGGCTGCGGGCTACCCCCCGCCCCCGCCGCCCAGCTGAGCCCACGTGTGTCCTTGCAGGGAGCTACTTTGCCCGAGACGCCGCATATTCCCACCACTACAGCAAATCTGACACCAAGTCCCACACGATGTTCCTGGCCCGGGTGCTGGTGGGGGAGTTTGTCCGAGGCAACGCCTCCTTCGTCCGCCCCCCGGCCAAGGAGGGCCTTGGCAACGTCTTCTACGACAGCTGCGTGAACAGCATGTCTGACCCCTCTATCTTCGTGGTCTTCGAGAAGCACCAGGTCTACCCGGAGTACATCATCCAGTACGTCAGCTCCACCAAGCCCATGGTGGGGGCCTCCACCCTCTTCTCCTTGGCATCTTTCTTTGGGGGCCGGCAGTGAGCCCGCCAGGGTGTTTTTAATGCCTTTCAGGCCTGTCTTCCTTGGAGTAGCTATTCGGGAAGGTGTGGTTTTTTTTTTTTTTGTTTTTTGTTTTTTTTAACAAAAACTTTTAATGAACTGTTCATTTAACGTTGACTTCCTGATGAAGTTACATTCTTAATCTCGCACTGGTAATGGTTTTCGGTTTTAAGCCACTCTTGGGCTCGTTACTAGACTAACCAGAAGTGATTATAGGTGGTCCTGTTACTGCCTTTTACTAGTGTGTTAAAGTTTTATTACTTACACTCTTTGTTGACTTTGCGGCTGATTGGCACCAGGCACAGAGTTTCTAGATACTATTTTATGGATTGATTTTAAATTTAAGTTTCTGTCTCTGCAGTGAGTCATTTGGTTTTTCAGGGTCTCAGTGGCATCTTGTTTAATTTTTTGTCAAAATGACACAGTAGCCATCAGTGCAGGAGGCCTCCCTGTCTGTTGCTCTGGCTCTAATCCAGGCAGCTCTTCTCCTGGGCTTCTGGCCTTGGAGTTGGCCCATCAGTCACGGTGTGAGAGCAAGTGGCTACTGTGTGGCATCACTGGGGCCCTGTCGTGGGGTCCACACCATTCAGTGGAAGGTGACAGGGATGAGTGGCTGCCAAGGACCCCCGGGCTCTGCCCACGAAGGCCCATTCCCACATCTGAGCACACTGGACACCCTCCGAATGTGGGTTTTCTGTTCCTGTGAGATTTGAATACCTGTGCTGCAAATGTCACAACGGAGAATGGAAATAAAAGAATATTTATCTGAAGTGGGCGACAACCAAAGCTCATTCTTCAGCATCTATTTATCGAGCACCTGCGGGGTACAGACACTTTTCTGGGTTTTGGGATATAACAGAGCCCCCAGTACTGGCCTTGGGGGCTGTGTGTGTGACTTATCCTAAAGCTGATGAACCTGAAGGTTCAGGGCCACTCACTTGCTGGGGCTTCTTCCACAACCGTAAGAGGGGCCCTAACTATATGGCCACATGGTCCTACATCTCCGTTAAATTTGCAAAAGTTACATATTCATATTTTTTTTCTTTCCCCCAACTGCTATGAATTTCAAGTTCCACAAAACCCAGATTGACTACTGAGCAGAGTGTGTTGTGGACATGGAGGGGTGGGTGCGTTCTGAGTGTGTCTTGCACACATAGCAGTCGATGGGAGTCTTTTTTTTTTTTTTTTAAGATTTTATTTATTTATTTGACAGAGAGGGAACACAAGCAGGGGGAGTGGGAGAGGGAGAAGCAGGCCTCGCGCTGAGCAAGAAGCCTGATGTGGGGCTCGATCCCAGGGCCCTGGGACCATGACCTGAGCTGAAGGCAGCCACTTAACTGACTGAGCCACCCAAGCACCCCGTCGATGGGAGTCTCTGCTGGGCACTGGCTGGCTCTGCTCCGGGGAGGAGGGGCGGGCAGGGCAGCTCTGTGTCATGAGGTGGCTCTCCCTGTTGGTCTCCGGGTTCAGTCCTCAGCAATGGGCTCCTCCTCCTCCTCCCCTACACCCTTCTTGCCCATCCCCCCACCTTCCTAATACAGTGTGTCCACTTCATGGGACGCCTCCGCTTCTGTCACTTTGTCCTCAAGTTCTCAGATCCAAGGCTGTTGAGTTTTTCCATCTTTGGAACAGGTGTAGGGAATGCCCTGGAACCTTACACAGGTCAGCTAATCAAGGCAGAGAAGAACTGAATTCTATGACCAGAAAAATGTAGCAACAGCAGTACTACCTTACCCACCTGTTGGGCTAGTCACCTGGTTGTACGCCACCAAAATATTTACCCCATACCCTGACTGATGAAATTTTATTCACTGCTTTTCGATTGAGTCATGGTCCTACTACAGTGTAGGCGGGGAGGCAGAGGGGTGTCAGGGAGAACCATCAAATCAGGTGCTTGCCTGCTAAGTCTTAAATGTAAACGATCCCATGCTCATTAACCATCTGGCTGCTGGGAGCTGAATGATGGGCAGCAAGGATGGTCCACTGGGGAGTGTGGGTGGGACGGATGGCTGGCGAAACCTGGTGTGGGAGGTGATCACATGCTCCAGACAAGGCAGTTGAGCTACAAAGACTGCAGGGGCCCTGGATTTGCTCACCTTTCAGAAAGCAAGCCAGGAAGAACACCTACTTGGACCTGAAATTTGAGAGACGGACGGGGTCCGTGTGACCAGGCTCTGGGATCAGGGGGGTGGGCATGTGATGGGACGAAGTCAAAATGATGGTAACTCTCTTGGTGCAAAGAGGCGGTGGCACCCAGGGCAAGTGTGTGTGACTGACTAGTCACGAGGACCTGGCTGAGATCCAGCTAAAGGGTCCTGTGGAGGGTCCAGTCCGTGCCATCTCCTGCCCCGTGGTAGCTGGCATTGCACACGGGATGGTGGGATTTCAGGGGAGCTAGGGATTGTGGGTTGAAACAGTGGAAGGGCCGAGTCCAGCAATTCTAGAACATGAGGAAGCCTCACTGCTGTGTCTGAAGATGAGAAGCACCTGGACAGAGAAGGTGAGGGAAGCCAATGGATGGAGCTGACAGGCCAGGGGCGCTGGGTGCAGGCTGTGCTCTGAGGAGGGAGCCAGCTGCTCCGCTGGGCCCTTCTCGAGGATGAGGCTCTGTGATGGCCATAGAGGGTCGGGGACTGGGAGATGGGCAGGCCAGTCAGGAAGGGCAGATGGGTCACCAGGAATGGGAACGTGTGGCTTTCTCTGATGAGTCTGAGCCCCAGGACCAGACATCTAGAAGGGGCTGGGGCCCAGACAGGAGAAGTGGTGAGAGCGAGGGTGGAGAGAGAGCTGTGTGATGGGCTGGCTGGGCAGCTCCTAGGGCTGGGACAGTGCTGGGGGACGAGGCTGCCTTCCTGTCTCTGGGGAAGGACTCTGGGGGAAGTATGGGGTCTTCTGGGCTGGAGTGGGAGAGGACCCAACAGCAGAGGCAGCATCCACAGCCATGGATACGTGGAAACCTCTTGTGCCAGCTCTCCTGAAACAGCCTAAAGATGGGTCAGCGTCTGGGTAGCCATGCTTCCTGACTCCTGCTCGGAATGCTATCTATAGGACATTCAGCCTCTTCATGCTGCTCGGATGGTGCAGAGGAGGGGGCTTTGATCAAGGTCAGCTGCCCCGTTTTACAGATGAGGACACAGAGGCACAGGGACGTGGGAAGACCAGCAGCCACGTGGCTGGTGGCAGATGTGGGATTCAACTTGAGAGCCCTTCTCAGCAACACGATAGTTTTAACAAATTCACTCCTATATTTTGACTCTTTGATCAAAATTAAGAGAAGGTCCGATGACTACATTTCAGTCTCTCTCACTCTTCTGTGTATTAAAACCTTATAAAGTTAGTATTATCCTACCTAGGAAAATCAAAGCATTTTGAGCCACTGTTGAAGCTGGGCTTCTGATAAATGTCATTTTTTTAAGTCACACACCCCGAGTGCACCAGAAGCTGAAGAGGCCCGGGAGCTGGTGCCATCCAGGGCAGCTCACCTGAGCGTCCCCGTGTCCTCTGCCCTATAGATTCCTTCCATCCTGAGGCCAGGACTTCCTTCAAAACCCCGAGTTCTCAGTCATTTTGGCAAAGTACATTTTTTGCTTATTTATCAGCAATCCCTGATGGAGAGAGGTGGATCAGTGGTTCGTACATCATCAGCAAAGTCAAAACTAAGTGCAACAAACATTTATTAAGCATTTAGGAAATCTATAGAGACCTCTTTTATACTTGCATGTCAGGGACCCTTTCAATTGCTTCAGTGATGTTTTCGCCCAAAATCTGAATTTCCACATGAAGGTTTTCTTTGAATCTGGGAGTGTCCTCATAACACTAACTGTCAGCGGGAGACAATCTTGATGTAGACGCCATTCTTTGGACCTAGGGCAGATTTGGATTCTAGCTGCAGTGGTACCTAAAAGAGATGAAGAGACTGGTTACAGCTAACTGCATCTACAGGGAAACTTCTTTGGAACTGGGCCTGGGGTTGTGGAAATGAGGGACAGCAGGGCTGAGTGAGCAAAGCAGCCTCCCTAGCATGGCCCTGAGAAGCCAGCAAAGCTGCATCTCGGGGACACTGGGGGCTGGGGCCCCAGCAGCACACTGGTGCCTGACCCTCTTTCCCATGTTAATAAAATGCTGCCGCTGAGTAAGGAACTTAGCATTTATCCTCCCAAGAAGCCTGCATAAGAAGTAGTAGTATCTCACTCTGCAAAAGAAGAAATGGAGGTTCAACGAGGCCAAGTGACTCGTCCAAGGTCACACAACTGGAAAGTGAAGAGCAAAGCCTCAAACTCTCTCACCTCCCCTCCTCTCACTCCCCGGTGCCCTGGTGGTAACTGAGCAGCCCCCTCTCTTTCCAAGGGGCTCTGGGAGAGTGGCTTCATACTGTCCCCTTCTCATGTGTGCCGTGGTCTAGCCTCACCGCCATTCAGAAAGCTTTCCTCATTAACTTACAAGGCAGATTGATGGTGGACTGGGGACTTGGAAGAAAAGCCGAAGAATTACTCAAGAAGCAGCGTGTCCCCTTGAGTTCTGGGTAAAATGATGGCTCAATGGCTAATGTGAATGAACGATTTAAGGGAAAGAAGAATCACCGGGCCTTAGTGTTGGGGTCTTGGTGGGCTTTTCAGATGTCTTTGGGGGCTATAGTTCAAATGGGAGACAAGTTATATCACCAAGAAACAAGATGAACTAAACTTGTGCTATCCCGTATGGTAGCCAGTAGCGCGCATGGCAACTGAGCATTAGAAATATGCTTAGTGCAAATGAGGGGCCGAGTTTTTACTTGATTATTAAAATTTACATAGCCACATGTGACTAGCAGCTACTGTATTAACACCAGTCTAGACAAACTGGAAACACCATTGGACTTCCAAAAAGGAATCAGTTGGAGCTAGCAAAGTCAGGGAGGGCTTCCTGGAGGAATGGACACCTGAGGTGGGGCTAGGAATGGGAGAAGCCCTGTAAGCAGGACTTCTCAAGGGCCACTTTGGGATCTGAGGGAACACTAAAGGATTTGGAAGATGGGATTAGGCTGGGGGCAGGGAAGTGGAGGCGGGGGATGGCATTCCAGCTAGGGAGGAGTGGGTAGAACCCTCCCAGAGTGGGAAGTTGGGGCAGAAAACACAAAGTGGGCTCAGATGAGCTCTCCGTACATCCAGGAGGCTCAGGGACTCATGCCTGGTTCTTGAGCTGGGGAATGCCAGGCATAAGCAGGGTTTTGGGACAAAGACTGCTGTACCATTTGTCAAGATGAAGGGGAAATGAGACAAACCCCAAAGGGAAGTCCTGCACACACGGAACACCTCAGTCATTTGGGGGCCTGCCCTTCTCTCTGTTGGTTTGGCTCTGTTTCCAATTTGCCCCTCCCTCTCTCCAGCCTTGAACCCAGTCTCTGTTTGTCAGAGGCAATGCCGCTCTCGGACTCTAGAAGTTGTCCACTCATCACTGTGTACTTAGTACCTGCCCCCATTCATGCTCGTGTCCGGCTGTGCAGAGGGCTCCTGAACACGCAATGGAGGGGCACCATGTTCAGGCTGTGTAGGCACAGACACCGCAGAGAGCAGCTAGAGGGAGAGGAAGGAGGGAGGTTTGGGGGGCGCACCACATCTGGTTGGAACCCGTTTCTTCGCTCCCTGGCTAGTCGTTCATTTGCTCTTTAACATTCGTTCAGTGAACGCGTGAGCACCTGCGCCATTCCTCGTGCTGGAGACTGCAACAGTGAATAGGACAGACTTGGTTCCTGCCCTCACAGAGCCTGCAGCCCAAGTGCGTGGCCTCAGGCAAGTGACTTAACCTCTCTGAGCTTTGTTTTAGCTCCTCACCTGAAGAATGGGAATAATACAACCTACTCTGGGGGATCCCTGGGTCCTCTTCGCTGAACAGGGAAGAGCTCCAGCCTCGCAGGCGCAGCCTCGCAGAACAGAGGAGGTCGGTCGTAGTAATAGGAACGCAGACTCGGGTTCTGGGCCAGGCGCGTACCGGAGCACTTGTGCGGACCCATTCAACCCTCACATAACAGGAACGGGGCGGGGAGGGGGGGAAGGTGTGATTATTCCCACCCCCCTCACACTGATCCGGAGGAACTGGCCCGGCACCGAGAGCCGGGGTGAGGACCGCCCCCTCCCTCGGCGCCCCGAGCCGCGGCCTCACCGGCGTCTCCACGCAGGCCTCGAACCGGAACCGGCGCAGGACGCGCAGCAGCGTCAGCTTGACCTCCAGGAGCCCCAGCCGCACCCCGAGGCAGCTCCGCGGGCCCGCCCCGAACGGCAGGTACGTGAAGGGACGTCGTTGTCGCTGCGCCTCGGCCTTGAACCTGCGGAGGGGGGGGCCGAGCGGTCAGGGTAGGCCCCGGGACACCCGCCTCCCTTCCCGGGGGGGGGCCTCGTCAGCCGCTCGCAGTGGCCGAGGGGCCCCTTCATCTGAGGCCGCGCTCCCAGCACGTGGGCCTGAACCCCGTCGCCGTCAACAGACTCCTGTCCCCTCGGGCCCTCGAGCTGTCCCTGAGCTCCCGTCCTGCCCTCTCCGCAATCCCGCAAAGCCCTAGACGGACTGCGGAGGAGAAGGATCACCTGGAAGGCCCTCTTGCCCCCCGCCCCCAGAACTGATTGTGTTGTTAATGAATCTGAAGGCTCACTAGGATCCACCAGGATAAAAATCTTAAGAATCCACAGGTGGCTCCAGATTTCCCAGGAGCCAGAACAGGACACCAGGCATCACCAGCTCCCTGAGCAGAATCCCTGGGGACCAGCCCTGCCTGGAGGCGGCGTCGTGCGGGTTTATCCACGGAGGCCACCCTGGCCGCCGGCTCCCCTGCCCACACCTGCCTCTCCGGTTCCCGCGGTGAAACTGGAACCACTGGGGGCTTTTTGTGTTTGGGCCGCTGCAGGAATTCTCCTACCTGCTGTCACATAGCATTTGCCACCTGTGCTCCGGGACAGTAGAGCTGGGTGCCCACACTGTCTTATAATAGCCAGCTCACTTCGGCTTCAGCCCTGGCGCTCGATATTCACTGCGTTCAGCCGGAAATTATTTATCTGGGTCCCGCTGCCCATGGCTTCCCCGGGGCGGGATCGTAGGGGTGGGGCCTCTTTCCACGGGAATTTGAAATTCCTCAAGGTGGAAACAGGGTCTGTCTGCCCAGCCCTCCCCACTGCCAGATCACACCAGGAAAGGATAGCCATCGATTCGGATGAGGAGGGTGTGGATGCCTGCTCAGACATTTTCTTTTTTTTTTTTT